AAGTGTGTTGTAACGCATGCATTACTGAACATGTACCGAGTAAAATATTACTGAAAATTGATTAGTAATGCCTTACACTACTGCGTTACAGCAAAAAGTAATCCGTTACTGCAATGCATTACTTTTGTAACGTGTTACTCCCAACACTGATTAGGAGTGAGGAGTTGGGGTGGAGGAGGGATGCCGGAAAACTGTCATGGGACAGAGGCAGGTAGGCTGCATATATATATATATATATACTGTATATATACAGTATATACGTATTGTGCTAGTTAGGATGGTTAGCTAAACGAGTTACACCTATGCCAAATTGGTTGATTATCTGATCGTGCTCCTCCCGAACCTGATTAATAAAACATCATATAAACATCATATATATTGCGATATGAAAAAAAAAAATCACCAGATGACTTGAATTGCTCTATTTGAAAAAAAAAAAAAATCAATGATTGGGATGATTTGTAGAAATCAGCATAGAAAATAAACAAATTACAAGCATAGATAAATATAATAGAACAAAGATACAAAAAGTAAACAGTGCTTTATATTTTTCAGGTAAGTCTAACAGTATTCAGGTGCAGAAATTGAATAAATGTAAAATAACACTGCATAGTCTTCACTGTATAAATTAAATCTAATAAATCTGTTTTAAAGTTACAAAAGTGTTTATTTCTCTATGTGTTTTGTTGTTTGATTAACATTCATGATACAGAAAGCGACAGGAACATTAAACTGCTGTGAATATACCGTTACACATTAATTTCCTTTCTCAATTGTTTACCTTCACCTAAGCCATAAGCAGCTGTGTTTACAAGGATACTTCCAGAGACATGCATTTTGAGATCATTTTGCGCGTATGTGTCATTTCAGGCACACATAGACACGGAAGTGAACGGGATTCAGAGTTCACGTGCATCTGCGTGGCTCTCACCGTGTCTACATCGGACACGAGCGGCGCGGTACGATGCGACAAAATACTACAAAACCCATTATAATCAGTGATACTGTCTATACTGGATGTGGCGCGGCACAACGTAATAAAATACTATAGAACCCATTATAATCAGTGATGCTGTCTACACTGGATGCGGCACGGCGCGACAAATCCCCGACAGTAAACTGATGCCACATTCTATTTATGACGTACTGACACAAAGTTAAAATAATTTGCAATGGTCGCTTTGTCGCATCCAGTGTAGACAGATTTCAGAGGTGCGGGGCAGTGCGACACGACAGCTGTCGCGTCCGGAGTAGACACGTTGTCTGTGTGTGAGCAAAGAAAACGATCAGTATAAAAATAACGCTCAGTATATAAACATCGCACATCCTGCGATGTGACTATCGCGGATGCGCACATTGCGATATCGATGCTGAAACGATATATCGTGCAGCCCTATCATGAACGCATGTAAAACATAGGGCTGTAGTAGTCGAGTTCGGTCTCTAGACATTTTTCTATCGTCTCGGACTTGTTGGTGTTTGCACTCGGACTTGTCTCGGACTTGGTCATTGGACTCGCCAAGTGTTCTTGTTGGTCTCGACCGAGTCCAGCAATATGCTTTTTTTCTCCTTCAAAACAAAAACACATTTGCATGTCGTGCCTGAAAACGTGTGGAAAATGCTAGGCGCGCCGCTTTCTCCTTCTTTCCAAAGCACTCTGTAGCCTGCGCTCTATGCTTGCGCTCCCGTGGCATCTGCCGTTGCTAAGAAACTATGACCTGCGCTCTCCATGAAGTTTCAGCAAAGGATAAATGGATTTGCAGCACTAAAAATCCCTTGAGGTAGCTCTGCTACTAAATTTATTTTAAAAAATGGCTATCCTTGGACAGCTATGATCAGCTGTTTCTCCATCTTGGCTTAGCTTTCAATTTTGTTATGGGAAAGGATGAAGCTGATTGGTTAATTCTTGTCACATGACCCGCGGTTTTGGGCTAAAAGTGTGTTGTAACGCATGCATTACTGAACATGTACCGAGTAAAATATTACTGAAAATTGATTAGTAATGCCTTACACTACTGCGTTACAGCAAAAAGTAATCCGTTACTGCAATGCATTACTTTTGTAACGTGTTACTCCCAACACTGATTAGGAGTGAGGAGTTGGGGTGGAGGAGGGATGCCGGAAAACTGTCATGGGACAGAGGCAGGTAGGCTGCATATATATATATATATATACTGTATATATACAGTATATACGTATTGTGCTAGTTAGGATGGTTAGCTAAACGAGTTACACCTATGCCAAATTGGTTGATTATCTGATCGTGCTCCTCCCGAACCTGATTAATAAAACATCATATAAACATCATATATATTGCGATATGAAAAAAAAAAATCACCAGATGACTTGAATTGCTCTATTTGAAAAAAAAAAAAAATCAATGATTGGGATGATTTGTAGAAATCAGCATAGAAAATAAACAAATTACAAGCATAGATAAATATAATAGAACAAAGATACAAAAAGTAAACAGTGCTTTATATTTTTCAGGTAAGTCTAACAGTATTCAGGTGCAGAAATTGAATAAATGTAAAATAACACTGCATAGTCTTCACTGTATAAATTAAATCTAATAAATCTGTTTTAAAGTTACAAAAGTGTTTATTTCTCTATGTGTTTTGTTGTTTGATTAACATTCATGATACAGAAAGCGACAGGAACATTAAACTGCTGTGAATATACCGTTACACATTAATTTCCTTTCTCAATTGTTTACCTTCACCTAAGCCATAAGCAGCTGTGTTTACAAGGATACTTCCAGAGACATGCATTTTGAGATCATTTTGCGCGTATGTGTCATTTCAGGCACACATAGACACGGAAGTGAACGGGATTCAGAGTTCACGTGCATCTGCGTGGCTCTCACCGTGTCTACATCGGACACGAGCGGCGCGGTACGATGCGACAAAATACTACAAAACCCATTATAATCAGTGATACTGTCTATACTGGATGTGGCGCGGCACAACGTAATAAAATACTATAGAACCCATTATAATCAGTGATGCTGTCTACACTGGATGCGGCACGGCGCGACAAATCCCCGACAGTAAACTGATGCCACATTCTATTTATGACGTACTGACACAAAGTTAAAATAATTTGCAATGGTCGCTTTGTCGCATCCAGTGTAGACAGATTTCAGAGGTGCGGGGCAGTGCGACACGACAGCTGTCGCGTCCGGAGTAGACACGTTGTCTGTGTGTGAGCAAAGAAAACGATCAGTATAAAAATAACGCTCAGTATATAAACATCGCACATCCTGCGATGTGACTATCGCGGATGCGCACATTGCGATATCGATGCTGAAACGATATATCGTGCAGCCCTATCATGAACGCATGTAAAACATAGGGCTGTAGTAGTCGAGTTCGGTCTCTAGACATTTTTCTATCGTCTCGGACTTGTTGGTGTTTGCACTCGGACTTGTCTCGGACTTGGTCATTGGACTCGCCAAGTGTTCTTGTTGGTCTCGACCGAGTCCAGCAATATGCTTTTTTTCTCCTTCAAAACAAAAACACATTTGCATGTCGTGCCTGAAAACGTGTGGAAAATGCTAGGCGCGCCGCTTTCTCCTTCTTTCCAAAGCACTCTGTAGCCTGCGCTCTATGCTTGCGCTCCCGTGGCATCTGCCGTTGCTAAGAAACTATGACCTGCGCTCTCCATGAAGTTTCAGCAAAGGATAAATGGATTTGCAGCACTAAAAATCCCTTGAGGTAGCTCTGCTACTAAATTTATTTTAAAAAATGGCTATCCTTGGACAGCTATGATCAGCTGTTTCTCCATCTTGGCTTAGCTTTCAATTTTGTTATGGGAAAGGATGAAGCTGATTGGTTAATTCTTGTCACATGACCCGCGGTGCACTTGCTGTGTTTTGAAAAGTTTAGATTTTTCTAATTTAATTTTCTACCTGTTAGATTGTGTTTTATTAACATCTACACCTAGTTCCTTCTACAGCCTTTATTAATATTAGTTAACTTTAATTTCAGCATTCACTAATGCATTATTCAAATGACAAGTTGTGTTTGTTAACATTAATGCACTGTGAACAAACAATGAATGAACAACTGTGTTTTTATTAAATAATGTTAACAAAGACAAAAATAAATAGTGTAATAAATATATTGTTAATTCAACAAAACTCTGGGGTTTCAGCGATGACTCATCTGAACGCCTTTGATTGGCCATTGCATTAATAAACTCAGTGGAATCCTATGTTATTGGTTGTAATGCTCACCGCTGTAAAAACAAACTTAGTTTAAATATTTAGTTTTATTTGTTGGCCCTAATATGCACAGTTAATTATTCATTTATTTATCACAAGTAATCATCATTGCAAAAAAAAAAAAAAAAAAAAACCCAATGTTTTAC